AACAAGTAATACTGCATAAAAGAAAATCATAAATAAAATATATCTTGAATTTCTATAATACAAATGTGTTTCAAAATCTATGAATTTCTAAATCTGGCAACAGAGCCGGAAGGCCGTTACGGAGGGGGCGGGACTATTGCAGGTTAAAGAGGGGGAGTAAAGAGAATGTGTAGTTTTCGAGGCATCACAACATCACGAAGTTGACCGAGAAAGAAAATTTGAAAATGGAAATATTTAGATGTTGAATTAGAAATATTACTTCTCTATTATATTTGCAAATGCTTTATAAATTTGATAGTAAAATTAGAACAAAATAAACGTAACAATGTAAAAACATTGTATTGAAAAATTATATGATAGTAAAGATACGTAACGTAAAATAAAAAGCCTAGGGATTTTGATTATTTTAGAGTAAAGTAACATAGTAAAGATAAATTTATTGTTAACGTTTTTTTCGTAACAATAAATTTATACCAAAATTAAACTGCTAAATGCATATTATAACATGAAATATAATATTAATGTGTATCCTTTTACACAGAAAATATGTTTGATATGCAAAATAAGATTTTGCTATATTCTTTATAATTATTCAATATATTTTATTCAATAGCTAAATTAAATTAATATTAAATATTATAAACTTACCGTAGCTGTTGTGAACGCTGTGGTTCCTTCGCAACCATACATCTCAAGAATGCTATCAGTTTCACTATTATATTTATGTAAGGATTATTAATATGAAACTATTGTAAAATAATCAGAAATAGAAAGAATTTCGAGTTAATTTAAAGGATACATCTGTTTGTATGAAGAGTCAATAACACTTTTAACATTTGAAAACTCTCCTGTTTTATTCATACTATTACTCTGATCTTGTTTTTTTAACAAGTCATTCTCCATTTTAATAAGTCGATTTAAAGTAATATCAACTTCATTATACGTAGAAGTACTGTATCCCAACCACATCTCCACAAGTTTTTCTTCGTCGACATCATACAAATCACACAGTTGTGTACCTAAAAATGAGAACATTGTATTTATTAATTTAAAACACTCTAAATTATTACATTAATTTAACTTAGATTTTAATACCATTATATACGTTGTCTCGAAAATTTGTAGGGAGAAAGATATGATATTCTCTGAACTTTTAAAAGGCATTTTAATGTATATAAGTTGTAATGTATATATGTTTAATGTATATGCACGTGTGCATATATGCACAAAATGCATAAGAAATAATAATATAAAGATAAAAATAAATAATATAAATATTATCAGTTAAAATATTGATAGGTAAATGAATAAGTTTTGATAAAGATATCATTAAAAAAATTACTGTATATTGCTTATCATTCATATAGAAAGTTAGTATCTCAGAAGTTAGGTTAGATAATGAACAAAATTATATAACATAACTGATCATTGTATTAATGATATTATTATAATTTAATTGTATCGAGGTGAAAATGGCAATTATACTTTCAATTACGTTTCACATGCGTTCGTAATAAATGCAATTTTTGAAATACTTTGTAAACAGTACGAAAGAGATAATATTGCAATTTTTTATAATAACAATTACTTACATTTATCAAGAACACGATTGTCTTCGACAGTACATCCAAATTCTTGAAAATATTTTTGCAAATTTTCTATTTTATCCATTTTATTGACAGTGTCTAATAGTTCCCGCCAAAATTAAAATACACTGATATTCCTATACCACAAAACAATACATAAAGTTGTACATTTTACCGCCTGCGCGATGTCCATGTAGTATATATATATATATATATATATACATTTCCTCCATAAAAAATATTTTGTAAGATGGAAAGAAGTACTTTGAATTAACGATAATTCCTTATTTGTCCTATAGAGCGCGCAATTTGTCACTATAGAATTTGTCACTATATATTGGTTTAAATGTTATTTCCTAAACTCTAATTATTTTATCCTACAATTGAAAACTATTTTTAAATTAATAATTCTTATAAATATGATTTGAAGTATTATTAAATGATGAATTCCAGCCTTGAACAATATATGGAAATATCTAGAACAAATTTAACATAAATAAGGTAATACTCTTAATAAAATATCAATGTATACGAGGACCGTATGACTAAATGATGACTATACTCATGTGCTTAAAGCACAAAATACAATTACCTGAACGTTTATTTTTAACGGAATTATATATTTATTAGAACTTATAAAACATGTTTTTAAAAAAACATATGAAATTTTCGTGTATTTAATAATTCTTGAGTAACATTGTATATATAGTAAAAAAGCAATTATGATATATATCATAATATGATATTTTTTCATTAATCAGTGTTTTCCAATACGAAATGTTTCTTATCCTTTTTCCAAAGGTCAATAAGTGAGTCTGAAATGTCTGCTGAAGGATATCTTTCTATCCACGACTGAATCAGTCCAGAGAACGTTGGTTCATAATTTTTTAAAATCACATCAGTAGTATTGCCGTTTTCTAAAATATTTTTATCACATATATTAGTAACATAATAATTGATTTTTTAAAAATAGTTTTCAATAAATAAATTTGATATATTGAAATATACAAACCATTTTTAATAAATGTATTTGGTTGAACAAACATTTTTCTACACTGTTTATTGAGTAAAACTATTTTTCTCCAACGTGCCCATGGGTATGGGCCAGAATCAGGTACTTCGCTATATTTTTCATACATTTCTCTAGCACTGTCTACGTCACCTGTACTTTTATAAATTTGAAGTTTCTTCAAAAACTCTCCAATTACTTCTTTTCCAGATGTTTCAATTTTCGATCTATCTAAAGTCATTCTTAAATCTTTTCCTTCTTCAGTTTCAGTAACAGTAACAAAACTATCTTTTGCTTCAAGACAAACTCTAAGTAAAACATATCGAGCTTGAGAGTGTGCTTGTAACCATTTTTTAGTAGAAGGATCATACATTTCTAAAGCTTTGGCACAGCCATTCCATAGCAATGACAACCAGTTGACATAAATTATATCATCAATCGCTTCTTCTGGACATTCAAAAATACGTACAAGCGATTTATCTAAACACAAATAAAGACCGACTGCTTCTGCTCGACATTCTTCATATGACGATCCCATTGCACCAAATTTAGAATCATATGTCTCTCCAGGCATGAAATATTTATCTACAGGATCTCCTGTTAATGGATTTATTAAATTTCCCTTATCAAAATTGTATGCATTAGCTCCCAATGACCGTAGTAGTTTACCACTGCCATGACCAAGAAGTTCATGTAATCCAACTTGTAATTCAAAACTAGGAATTCTATACTTGTTCAATAATTCTACATCTTCGTTGGATAAAAAAGGTATTTCATCTTGCTTCATATTAGCAGGTATAACATTTCCTAAAGAAACATTCTTAAATCCTTCCGACTGTCTAATTTCATCATAATTTGGAATATTTATTCCAGCAGGAATGCCTGAACTTGAGAATGTTAAAACTTCTAACGAAGTAAAATCTGGTTGCGTAAATGAAACTCTCTCAAAATCCTTACCCCAAGGAAGACTAGGAATAAACTCGTTTGCTCTATTCACTAATTTAGCAAACTTTTGAGACATTTCTTTGTTAACCATAGCTACAAAACCTTCAAATTCAGCTCTTTGTCCTGCTGGATCTCTATATGTTTCTATAAAACCAATATACGTTTCAATGACTGGACCTTTGTCTTTGATCCAGTAACGAGAACCATCTTTATGATCTTTTAATGAACCTGTTTTAAAATGACTTATAAATTTCTCAATCATTTGATTTTCTGTCTCATTTGCTGCATATTCTTTAGCTTTTTGAAGATTATCATTAACCTTTGCTAAAATTATATCATAATCTCCTCTTGTAATTTTGAACTCTTCTTCTTCAAAGGTTTCCTGTGGTAAAGTTATTTTTGGATCGTCTTCTTTATCTACGGAAGCTAATCTTATTTCATATAGACTTGTTATTTCATCAGTTTTAGAATCTTTGGATGGTATTATAGTTTTAAAACATCTTGTATTATATGACTCCAATCCTTTAGATTGCATAAATTTATTAACTAATTGAGCATCTTCGTCCGTACAATTAGCAGAGAAATAAGTGGTTACACCTTTATCACCCAATCCTAATGATCTCAACTTGTTTTCTAAAGAAAACATCAAATTGTGAATATTATCCCAGAGATATTGTATCTCATCTGAATTGTTTTTAAATGCTTTAGATACTTTGACGATTGTCTCAAATTTTTCTTTAGGTAAATTAGGTATTATTTTACTATCACCAAAGGATTTGTAATTACCACTATTTGTTATAATTCCACATGCGTAGACCAAGAAAGCCTGAAAAAAAAAAATATATATATAAAAATATAAATCAAATAATATAGGAATATTAAAGAGACCAAGTATACTTACAGTAAAATCATCATCAGAAATGCCCGCTTTCTTTGCAGACAGTTTTAAATCATCTGCAGATTCGGAAAGAAAAATTTTATGTAAAAGAGCAAAAATCAATGGAGATTCTGGCGAAAGTTGTAAATTTACAATAAGACCACCATGCCATGCTGCTTTGCTCAAATAATGTGCATACAATTTTTCTTTCAGTGTTAATGCATTAAACGACGTTTCACATTCTAACAATACCAAAGGTTGATTATTTGGTAAAGTATATAAAGACATATCGTCACTCATCTTGTTGTAAGAGTAATATCTACTGAAATAAAAAAAATAAAAATTATCATTAATACCTAATATTCGAGAATACGTCATTACACTATTTCAAGGTTTAACCTACCGGCTTCTTTTCGATTGAATAGTATGTACTTTAAAAGTATTCGTTGAATAAAATACTCGCGAAATATGATTTAATTTCGATGAATTAGAACGAATGAATAAATTTAAACAGAACAATTTAAACATATTTTCGAAACTAAGCCGGCGAAGGTCAAACTATTAACATAAAGTAAACGAAATAATATTGTAATTTTGTGAATAATGTATCTCACTCGATATTTTACTGGTTACGTCCTTGAAGTTTTGATATTTGTATTATTTTCATATATAATAATTAAAATTATTCGTTAAACTTGATAAGTCACTAAACAAATGCTTTTATCACAATAAGATCAAATTGAGAGTCACGATACAGTAATAAACTATAAATGATGGTGACGATTCTTTGTTGTCTATTCTGCGCGCGCACATTTCCACTTTTATACAGAAGTCTTTCGAGATTATTTTTTGTTAGTATTATTAAACTTGATTTTCTATCTTGCGAACATAATATTGCCATAATTAAAAAATAAGAATTCTAAAAGGAATGAAAAACAATCGTTTATATGCACATAATGTATTTATATTATGCAATTACATTTAATCTTAAAATCGAAAATGTTCATTTATTGAGGATAACAAGTTAATTCGTTATGGAAAGATTTTCTTATGATAGATAAATAAATTATATATTCCTCATTTTTTACCACAAAAGTACGATACCTTTCAATTCTTTGTAAGATTATTTATCCAATGCTTTCTATTTTTGTACCTGTGTACCACTTTACTCTTAATCGAAATCGACTTTATACATTTATTTCCATCAATTACAGACCTCTGTTCAAAAAGTTAATTAATAGATAATCATATTTATATTATATATAGAAGCTTTTTTTTTAATAATAAATCTTACAAATTTGTATAGAAAAATATGTGTGTCTTTCTCAAGGTAATTGAGATGTTTAATCTATAGAAAATGAACATTTGTCTCTACTTATCTATACTAAATAATGCTTTATTACAACCTTAATTAAAATACTTATTTATTTCTATTAGAAGAATGGTAGTATTTATGTAAAAAACAATATATATATATAATTTATTTTAAGAAACACAGAGTTTAACAGACTTTCAAATTATTATTTTATTGTTACATTATCAAAAATATAATACTAAAGCATAATGTATTATTCTTTTACATCTCCTATACCATCTGCATTTATTGCAAACATTGCTTCGCTTTCTGGTAAACAAGGTGAATCATAAATCTTACATATTCTCGTTTCTCCTCTACCTTTTCGTAAATACAATCTAGTCGTACTTGCGTGCGCTATGATATTACCACCAATTGGTTTCTTTTGATCACCACCAAACATAGAAGCTGCACCATCGACTTGAGCTACTACTTGATTAGTTATAACAACAGCTACACCATGTTCATCTGCTATTCGCAGTAACATCCTCAAAAATCTGGCTAAATGATTTTGCCTAGCTGACAATTCCCCTCTACCAGAATAATCAGTACGATAAAGAGCTGTTGCACTATCAACAATTAACATAGCATATCTTGACTCTGTCATCATAGCACTGGCTTGTATTACTAACTGAGTTTGGTGATCCGTATTATAAGCTCTAGCACAGGCGACATTATCAAGAACAGAATCACCAGCGATTTTGTATCTTTCAGCAACAGCAATTAACCTTTCCGGTCTAAACGTTCCTTCTGTATCTATGTAAAGGCATTTACCTTCTGCTCCTCCCATATCTATAGGTAATTGACAGTTTACTGCTAACGTGTGACATAATTGAGACTTTCCTGTCCTAAATTCTCCAAAAATTTCTGTAATAGAACCCGTTTCAATTCCTCCACCTAATAATCGATCCAACTCCGTAGAACCGGTAGAAACATAAACAATATTTGCACGCATTTGATGTATCTCTGTAGCACTTTTAAAACCCATTACCACTAATTTAGATGCTTCTTGTAATATTTTGTCTGCTTTAGCTTCGCTAATACCTTTGATAGAAATAAGGTGTTTTTTTGGGGCATATGCTATTGCTTCTACAGTGTGATAACCAGCTTCTTCTAACTTTTTAATATCACCTGCTGTAATTCCATTTCTCTGGACAAAGAAAATACATAACAAGTAAATACATAATAAAGTATGATACATCTATACTTTTGATATCAAATATTAAAACAAATATAATATATTTTTTATCATGCTTATCTTATATATAGGCTTAAAATAAAATAAGAACTTACTTCCAATGTTTTAATTAATTTTGCTTGTGGATTATAATCATTTACATCATTGTCATCTTCCACTTCATCTTCTCCTTCATGAAAAGACGCTGATACAGTTGTCATTTTTCTTTTTTAAATTTATATCAAAGTTTTACAACAATATACAGTGAACTTAAATTAACTTAATGAGACTAAGTAAAAATATAAAAGAACATTAATAATTTTATCCTTTGGAAATATTCATTGGCAATGTTAATGATAAATATAACTTCCTAGGATATATTCTTAATTATCATAATTATTTATGAAAGTAACTGTGAAACAGATAATAATGCGTTTGTAAATAAATGTTATCTTTTTTTTTTTATTATTATTATAAATTATTATATTTATTACACAGAAATCACTTTTAAAATCAAATCGATGCTCATGCGTATTTCTAGTGCCGCCATGTATACGCGGTAACTATCATCATATAGCCACAACACGACTGAGCAGTTTTTTACTAGTAAATGCAGTAAAAAGAGACCAAATCTGTTATAGGAACTATTGGGATGTCTGGCAGGGGCGTGGCGTGGCAATTCGACCTATCTACTTTAATTTTGAATTTAGCCACCAGATAGCGTATTCAAGTGCTAGAGATCCCACGTGGCGTAGCAATTCGACCTATCTACTTACTTTAGCCGTCTAATACTTTGAATGTAGCCACCATAGCCACCGTTTTCAAGTACTAGAGAAAAAAATGGAGATTTAGTTAACCAAACAAACATATTGAATACAGGAAAGTGTTGTGCTCATTTTCTTCAGTTTAGTAAAATAAAAAAAAGATATGTATACATTAACTGGAATACATTACAATAAAATTTTTTTTGATCTTTTCTTTAAATGAAATAATTTTTATCTTGCCAACTTGCTAAAGAAATTCAAATTTTTAAAACATTAATTTTAAATAATAATAATAATAATAATAATAATAATAATAATAATAATAAATAAATAAATAAATAAATTTTACGTTCTTAAGCAGTGAATTACCTTATTGAAATATTGCTATATATATATATATATGCCTTGTAATATAACACATAACCTATATATATTTATATAAATTCCTACCCTACATATATTTATATATTATTCCTATATAAATAAATAACCTATTTCTATACCTATATAAATTCATAACCTAAACATATTTATAATCTAATTAAGAAATAGTAAAATAACACAGAAAAGATGCCTGCGGTAATAGTAGGACCACCTCAGCGTAGTGAACAGATGTGGCAAGCATTAAAAACTCATATTACAAGGGAACGACAAAGAAAAAAACAAGGTATAATTCTATCAATATCTATTTTTAATTAATAAATGTGTAATTTTTGAGGTGAACATACACGTTATCATTTTTGTAGAACAAGAAGCTGATGCTGAAGAAGAACGTCAAAGAAAGGAAAGAGAACGTCAACAAAAACAAGATGTTATGACTTTGGGCGAAACACGTGAACAAATATCCAACCTTGAAAATGAATTAGCTCAACTAAAAGATGAAAAGCATCAATTATTTTTGCAATTAAAAAAAGTTCTTAACGAAGATGATAACAGAAGGCGTCAACTTATCAAGGAAACAAGGTACTTACTCCATCCGCGTTTTTCTCTTATTAAATATTATATTAATATTTCTAAAATATTATTTTAATATTTTCTATCAAACTTTCAAGATTTACATATAATTATATTATTATATGTACAGAAACTGTTCCGAAGTGTTAACGGCAGTTGGAGGATATCATGGTACAGTTTCACAAGTAGTACAGCCTCCTTTATTTCTACCATTACCACGTAGCAACAGTCCTTTGTATAATAAAGTAACAGTGGGTGCACCAACGCACACTCTTTTACCAACCGTATGTTCAGTATTTTTAATATTACAAATAATATATATTGTCATATATTAACAGTTTGAGTCCCAAGCAGCGCGATAGCGTTGTTCACATTTTATGTCGAGAAAACCCTGTACATTTCGAGCATTCTGGACAACTGATGGTGTGCTCATATTTATGAAACAAATGCATACAAGTAGCGCTGTCGCGCTGCTTGGGGGTCTTTTCGTACTCATTTAGAGATAGCGCTGTTTGGGATTCTTCGACAGTGTTTTTTTCGAAACTTCCCCCTTAGGACTAAAACGGTTAAATTATATTAATTATTTTATTAAAAAGGGTCCATTAAAAAGATCACATAGTCCGTCACCTCCTCCGACTGCATCTCCATACCATGCAGGATACGGATATAAACCACCACCTGCTATTTCAAGTTACAATCCACCTCCGTCTAGTAAGTGTATTTAATTAGTCTAATACCTTTTAATTGCAATTGCCACATGTGAGTAATTTATTTTAATATTATTTATTATAGAATCTGAGGATGCTGCAAGAAGATCTAACGATTCTAGAGCTGTTCTTTGGAATAGTGAGTAACTTTGAAGTCTATTTGGACTATCGTTTACGATTATAAAATATATTATATGTATTAATTTCACTATTTTAGAAAACAGTCAATATTCTGCATCCAATTTCTATTCTGCACCTACCGGACAAAGCGTCTATAGTTATTCTGCTCCAACTTCACAGCAGTCTAGAGAATCCGAACTTGCAAAACCAGTGTATTTATCAGGAAATAGAGCAACATTATCTACACATCAAACAGGTATATTATATTCAATTTTATAATTTTTTTTCTTGTTCTTTTTCTTGATAGGACTTCGTCCTGTTGTGCATAGTTTTATAGCCTTTATATTCCTCAGGACGTTTACTGTTCCTGTGATGACGACATCCAGCTTTCATGCCATTCAAAAGGATCGAATGTTGATATCTTACGTCCTGATTACATTTTATAATCTTTATGAATATCGAAATTGTTGAATATTGCAACTGTTTGATTTAAATACCACGTAATAATTGTTTAAGGGGTAACACCACTATAGAGTCCGTTCAGTTAAAAAAATTTTCGAGTAAAAGTTTCGAGAAAAACTCGTTTAAAGTTTGTTATCACTATTCGAGGCGCTTTGAGGCGCTTCGTAAAAATAAGATCTCGCCATGTTAACAATTTTTTTTTTGCTTCGGGACCATGTTCATAATGTTTATATATGTTTAAAGTACACTTTAGGCTAAAAAAAAAATCGATTTTTTGAAAATTCTATAGTGGTGTTACCCCTTAAATTAATAAAAACTCATTATATTTTCTTGTAGCTTATGTAACCAGTTTACATACTCTAGAACATAAGGGTGCATACGCAGAAGATAAATTTTATCTTCGCCCTGGCAGTCATGTTACTGTACACGGCGGCGCTATGCCAATTCAACAGCCATCACAAGTAAGAATATATTATATAAAATTTTAATATAAAAATATTTATTTTATTAATATAGCAACTTTTCACAATATATCTCATTATTTTTATTAGACATTCGATTATGTTTTAAAGGGGTCTAAAACAGGTGGTATTACTTCTGGATATCCAGTACGAGCACCTCAACCACCACCTGGACCATATCCTCCCCCACCTCCTGGAACTTATGTTAATGCATCTGGTGCTAATATACCTGGTCGTTTATTATATACACAACCTGGCGCACGTTATTTGCAAAGAGAGTTATAGAATTAACATCGAATACTATAATTTTGATATATCATTTCATTAACACAAGTAAGTATTTTCATTTACAGTTTATTAACAAGACACATTTGTAAAAAACAATATACGAATTTATCTACGAATACAAAATATTTCGAAACAAAACATCTTTTTTTTCTTTTATTGCCATCTATTACCAATCAAAAACTGATCAACTTTTATTTACGTGAGACACCCTGTTTATCTTATGTTATTATTATTATTATTGTTATTAATGTATCAGCTTATTATTATCTCTTTAAAATATATGAAATTTTATATTATCCGATTTTGAATATTATCAATTAAATTTTACTCCACATATTTATGTTTTTATAAATATTAAAAATTCAATTTGACACTTGCGGTATAAAGTCAGTAGAAAATGGAATATAAAATTATATAGAATAGAATATAATACAAATAACATCTTTTATTATTGATAAACAGTTGATAAATAATAAAAAAAAAAAATAATTAATACAATATTTTTATTGTATTTCCATAACTTTTCGTTATCCTTATATAGGTCATAACTATAAGTAAAGTTTTGAATACATAATTATAATACTTTGTATAATACTGATCATGTTAAGGTACATTTGTTAATTCATAACTAAAAATATTTTCTTTTCTTAGGCAAGTATATACTTTATAAAAAAGTATATAATAATAATTATATCAAAATAAATGTTTAAAGTTTAATAGCCCACTTTTTTTCATGTTTTTTGTGTTCCGATGTATACAGATGTTCGCGAAGTTTCGCAATACCATAAACAGTTACTTTACAAAATTTGCAGCAAATTTCAGTATTCAATGTATTTCGGTCATTTCTGTACAGAGAAAAATGATTGATATTAATGATTAATAATAATATGAAAAGAGATTAAAACGCATAAAAATATTTTTTCATCAACTTACTCTGAAGCAAGAATGCGTAATTCTTTAAGATGATTTGTTAATTCTTCTAATTCATCATCTGTTTCTTCTAATTCTAATGCCCAATGTAAATTGTAAACATTATTTTTAATCATGGCATTTTCGTTAGGTTTTAGAAACATTGATTCATCATACTTTGCCCATTTATAAAAATTCCCCACCATTTCAGGATTTTGCTTCTTTCTATTTTTATTTATAAGTTTGGACAATACTGCTTCGATTTTATTTTGACAAGTGATCACTTCCATGAAATGATTGTGTCCCTTAATATTTTCGCTAATTTGCATACCAATATTCATCCAATTTCGCAATCTATTTATCTATAAATATAAAATTTGAACATAAATTTCATTTCATGATGTAATGGTAAATAAATATACAGGATGTCGTAAAAAAATGTTACCCATACTTTAATTGTTTTAAATGTTCCAAGTTGTTACATAATCATACGTTGAAAAATTAAAAAAAAAAACACTTATAAACACTTCAAAAAATCAAAATGTGGTAACTTTTTTTATGTGACATCTTGTATATATCAATCAAATAAATATATATACTTACATCTTGTAAATCATCTAATGTTATCTCAACATCAAAATAGACTTCCATATCATGTTCTGGAAAAATACTTGTTTTAGTAGAACTATCATATCCTAATCCACACAATGCTCCGGTAAAATATGAACCAATAGAACTACGTCGTAATTCTATACGTGGTGCAAAAATTAAAGCTAGTAAAGCTGTTAGACCAGGAATGGCAGGTATTAAAGTGGTATTATATAACGTTAAACTGTTACTGTTTATATTTTGGTTTACAGAGCCAGCCACTAAGAGATTTTCTTGTTGTTCTTCCCAATTATTATCAAGAATAACTGAATTAACAGAATTCTTATCAATGTAGATTGCCTTATCTCTGCCAGCAATGGTAAGATGTTTTAAATTACATTCGAGAGGAGAAAAAGGACCACGTAAATTTACTGTAGAAATGCATTCTGATTCTTCGGGAGGATCAGGATAATCATCATTTATATCATAACTATCGTCGTATTGTAATTTCTCATAATAAAGAATTTCTTTTGTATTCATATTTTTATATTGTTTTCTTATATTATTGTTACGTTGTGATAAATAACTTTCTTCTTTGGGAATTGCTAATTTGGTATCTATTAATATTTCATTAATATTGACTTTTTCACCTTTGTTTAAAGATATTAATGTTAAAGCTATCACACTATTAACAACAGAATATATTTCACCATATATATGTTCATTATTTCCAATAAGCTCATGAAATTTTAATTCAGCTTCCTCAGACCAATGTATTTTATAACTGTATATTGTGGAAGGTTGTATGTTAGCTAAAACACATTCCAGTGCTAAAGCAGGGATTTTCATAACACTTTTAGCATTTGTGATTTTTCGTATATCGTTAATAGGAATTTTTATGGTATGACCAATATCAATTAATTGGCATAAAGCAAAGTTTTGATTTTGTGTTTTAATATAATCTTTAATAATACCACGATAATATTCTACTTGGAGATGTTTTAATTTCAATGGAACAGCTACAAGAGTGTCAATCTCGGGAAGAGAACTGAATTTACTCAAAGCGTATTCTTTTCTATTTAAAACTTCTCTTATGTATTTTATCTTATCATGCGTATCTTTATCATTTATGTGTACCCAAAAATGACCAGGATTTATAATCTGCAAATTAAATATAAATATAATATATATATGTATTATTTTCTGAATATAAATAAATTCATTTAAATACGTACGTTTATTAGCTTAATTGGAATGCATGAAATATCAAGACTTGGAAGATCTGGATTAACGTAAGCAGGTCTTTCATCCTCTTTTATAGAAATATTCTTGTTAAGAAATCCTGTTGGCTGTACTTCAAAATTCATTTGCTTTGTAAACTCAATAGCTTTTTTTTCACTTAATACCGATATTTTAATAGGACTGTTATATCGTCTCATTTTAATGGCCCTGTACATTGAAAGTGGAATTTTTCTTTCCTCATCTGTATAATCTTTATTAAATTGAACATATAAACGTGTAGATTTAAACGAAACGTGTATTTTTCCAATAGAAGAATTGAGACAAGGTTGGAAAAGATTCTGAATTTTCCGTGCGTACAAAAATCCTGGTTGATTAATTGGCCAACCTTGTAAATATACTGTTCTGGTTATGTCTAGTCCATTCAAAATTTTATGTTGCTCTTCCATTTCTACAGTATTTTGACGTTTAATACAATAATTAGGATAAAATGCACCAGCAATAACAATTTTAAGAATAAGTGGTCGTATTTCATCATCCCACTTGACTTTATTAATTCCAACACTTTCAACTATATTAAAATCTTTTAACTTTTTGGTTACTTCAAGTACGAGAGACTCAATTTCACGTAATACTTTTATTTGAACAAATTGTCTTTTTGCCCATCTTTTCTCTATATCACGGCTATTTAAACGACGGTTTGCTTTCTCCCTTGTCCATACCTTGTAAACATTTAGAAATGCTATACAATCACTTTCTGAATCGTTAGCCCAAGTAAGTTTCACATTATAAGCTAATAACTTCTTTCCAAATGGGTTACAAAACATATCTTTTATGCTCATACTACAACCAATTATTATCGTATCTCTTAAAACACTGAAGAGATGACCTAACATAATCAATTTAGTAATTTTAATATTTAATGGCACAGCAGCCATTATACGGCCAAGATCTGTTAATTCACCATCAAGAGCATGTGTTGTATTTTCAGTGTTAAGTAATGCACCAGATTCTTTTAATAACAGTATAGTACGTTCTATGTTACTAAGGTCAGGTGGATCAAGACATAAAGCTAAAATAGCTTTAGGTTCACCCATATTTAAAACTTTCGCCTGAAGAAATATATTTTCAAGAGGAGCTCTCAACATTTCAGGACTTGCTTCTTCAGGTAGTACTGACTTGAATTATTAAAAAACATATCAAAAAAATAAATTAATTTATGAATTTGTCTTACTTTTAAGCGAATATAAAAAGTAATACTTACATTATAAAAATTCTTTGGTACTAATCTGTATACTCTACCATCCATTACACGACCTGTACGACCACTGCGCTGTTTACAATTTACTTTACTGGCCCAAGAAAGCTCCAAAGATTGAAAATTAGTTTGTGGATCAGTCACGAGTTGTTTTGTTAAGCAAAAATCAATTACTGTCAAAAGAAAAAGAATATTTTTTAATTGAAATATTGATTACATTTTATTTAAGATACTGATAAAGTCATACCATATTTCACATCAGGTACAGTAATGCTACTTTCAGCAATATTTGTTGATAAAATAATACGACGATAGTCTTTTGGAGGTTGCTGGAAAATTTTGAATTGTTCCTCATTTGTAAGTAAGGAATGTAAAACGACAATATCCCATTTAGAGCTTTCATATTTTGGAGACATTAACATACTATGTAATTCTTCTATTTCAGATATTCCTGGCAAAAATATAAGAACGACGTGTCTATTAAAAGAACCTATTCCAATATCATTTCCTGCATTATCACCTACTTTCATGTCTAGCTCATCCAAAACAATTATTATGCGTACACATAAATTCATTAAATTTTTTGTGATTTTTGGTTCATTTTGTGATACTTTTGGTAACTATTAGATATATAAAATTATTTTTATATAAATATTTATAATTATTATATAGAAAAATGTATTCATATTTAAGAATTATAAAGCTGTATTAAATTACTTACGTCTCCTATCATTCCAAGTTGACAAAGATAATAAACCTTTGTATTATACAAACTTTGTTTATCAACACTAATTACAGGTGCAGGCTCAAGTTTATTCCCAACAGGCGATGAAAAATAATTGGCAAATTTATCAACATTAAATGTTGCAGACATAAGTACAACTTTTACGTTACGGGAATTGGTCCTTAATAATTTTCTTATAACAACTAATAGGAAATCCATTTCTTGATCACGTTCATGAACTTCATCTAGTATAATATGAGTGAATTCTAACATGTGTTTTTTATAAACCAATCTCTGTAAAAGTACTCCAGTTGTACAATAAGTTAAACGTGTATCTTTAGAAGTACAGTTCATCATTCCAATTTTATATCCAACAAGGGTTCCTAAAGGCCATTTTCTTTCTTGACTAACTCTTTTTGCAATACTAGAAGCAGCAATACGTCTAGGTTGTGTTACTATTAAAAGTTCAACAAAAATATTTTATTAATTTAATTCAATTCAATATATATATGTATAAAAGTAGTAATATAAATAAAAGATAAGTCACCTATAATGTTACAATGAGCTTTTTTTTTGTAACACGAATCAAGTATATATTGTGGTACTTGTGTTGTTTTACCACAACCAGTTGGTCCCTCAATGATGACTACAGAATTGGTATCAATCATTGAGATTATATGGTCTTTTATATCGTTGATAGATAAATTTGTTTTTAAATGGTTAGAAAAGTCAAATGTATTATATACATTTAATTCTTGATTATAAAGCTCTGATTGAACGGAATTTGTTCCCACAGATACATTATCCATTTTATGTTCATTCTCCAAAATATTGGATATGTGCTTTGCAGAAGACTATTTAGTAAATTATACAATCATAAATTAATACATTTCTTAAATATTAAGTAAAACCAAGTAAAAAACTAATATAATACCTTAAGAAGTTCTTTTTCTTCTTCCTCTACGTACTTCTCTGCATAACTGGTACCTTCAGTAGTACTTTTACGAATTGGTACATGATCTATTAAATCGTCTGCCGCAGAAACATTACGTGATTGTAATGTTTGACTGTACGGTGGTGGTAGTCGGATAATTTTATTAAGTTTTAAAATATCAAAATCCATGGTGTGTCCGCCTATCTGAATTCTAATAAAAAAAAAACACTGTATAATTATAATTTTAATAATTTGATATGCACACGCGCGTACACACTTGCCCAATGTTTTGTATTTGAGAATAATTTACATTTGCTTTGTTAAATTATATGAATAACAAAACGTTAATTATTTTTTTTTATTTATAATTTTATTGAATGTACTATATTTTTTTAAATAATACTTACCTTTTGTTTAATTATAAAATTATTTTAAGGTTCTCTTTAGTATTGTTCATTTAGGTGAAAGATTTTTATACACTTCTAGAACCGTTACTTCCTATGAAACAAAATCGTAACTAATAGGATCAGCCATGTGGGATCTCTAGCACTTGAAAGTTGAATTATGGAGGTTAGAAAGTTGAATTATGGAAATGCATTCAATTCCGGTGGCGCCACAGTTCGTGAAGTGTCAATATTAAAGGAAGCGCCAAATATTATTAAAGTAGGATTGAGAAATAAACAAGGAACACAAATTTTACCCATAACTGTTTTGTTATTCACATACTTTTTCATAAATGTAATTGATATAAATGATAAAAAATCAATAACTATACTATTCACAGTTCACGAAATAAATGTGGTTTTCCAATTACAGAGCATAATGCGACTCAGTGGCGCACAATGCCGAATTGTGCTAATGCTTAATTGAAACGTGAATTAGTTTTCAAGCGCACCAGTAGAGTGCGCTAAGTTCAGTGTTGAAAAAAAAATATTCATAGACTTAGCAACCTCATTAATGTATAAATAAAGTGGTATACAATAATAATGATTCGATCATTCCATTGCAATGTTGACAAAAGTATATTTCTGTAAAATAAATTTATTTATAGTTTTGAATTTTAAAATGAAATTTTATTCACATTTTATGTGTAGAATATAAAAAAAAATAGTCGATGTTTACACCTTCATCCATACTTATATTTATTTTTTAATACAGTCTGAATTAACTTTTTATTATTTCCAAAAAACTACGACGAGAAGAAAGCTTTAAGAATTTTTTCAATAATAAACAATATTACTAACGATAATATATATACAATTTCGATCAATGCCAACTTAAAGAAAAAACACTTGGTTATTTTCTGCTA